GTGGATGGGATGGGCGGCATGGGAACGTATGTCTGTGTGTCGTGTCGATGAGTGAGTACCTTCCTTACCTTCGTGTGTGTCAGTGGGTAGGTCTTTGTTGAACCATTCGTGTTGGCAAATGGTCTCGATGGTGCCCCTCTTGCGCGGGTCCTGCACGAAGATCTGACCCAGCAAACTCTGAACCAAGCAAGGAAGGAATGGACGATGGACGAGCAAAACAGAGGGAGGGAGGCATGGAATGGCACACAAAATATATCCTCTGCGTGTGTGTGTGTGTGTGTGTGTGCCCTGCCGACCCGCAGCTGAGAGCTGAAGTGATCCGGGCACTTGTAGGACGCACTGCACCGACACCAAAGCGACCGAGAAGGAAGCATTAGCAGCTCAGCTTCTTCTCCACCGCATTGCATTTATTGTGTGTGCGTACGTGGAGATGTTTCTGAAGAGGTCAGCGACGGTGTCGGCGTCGAAGGGGAAGTTGCCGGCGACCAGCGTGAAGAGGATCACACCCGCCGCCCACACATCTGCCGGCCGACCGTCCCACGGCTTGCCACCAGACAACACCTGCCAGCACATACCAACCCATTCCCCTTGTGTTGTGTGTGTGTATATGTGTGTGCGTGTGTGCTGGCAGACCTCAGGGGCAAGGTAGTGGGGTGTGCCGCACGCAGTGAACATCATGAACGACTGCAGCATCTCGCTGGCCTGCTGCGCCTGGCCGCCCAGGTAGCCCCCCTCCATCGTCGCCACATCTCCGCCCTCCAGCCCCCCGCCCATGAGGCTGCCACCGACCTCTCTGTGACCTCCACCACTCGGGCTCGGCACCGTCATGTGGCTGTCGAGATCGGTCTCGGTGGGACCACCCATCCCCATCGCCACATCCTCGTGCAGCGGCGGAGGTACTCCTCGCGACCCCCTTCGGGTGTCCCCGGCCACCTGCTGCTGCTGCTGTGGCTGCTGCTGCTTGGCCGATGTGTCTTCGCTGCTCTGCGAGTGGAGGTATGTGCTGGATGTCTTGGGTGATGGCGGGGAGGGGGAGGGGAGTTGGTCGGCGGTGCGGTCGCCGGGTCGGTCGTAGAGGGCTGAGAGGCCGAAGTCGGAGATCTTCAGGCTGCCCTTGTCGTCGGTCAGCAGATTCTCACACTTGAGGTCTCTGCAGACAAGCAACACAACACGGGCGTACAGTGAGATTGTGTCAGCAGTTGAGTTAGTTGGTGGTGCACTGCACCACACCAAGCTACCGTACCTGTGGCAGATGCCCTGTTGGTGGCAGTAGGCGAGACCGTACATGAGCTGGTGGAAGAACCGCCGCGCCTCCACCTCAGACAAGTGGGGGTGCGGCTGCCGGTTCTCGCTGTCCATCAGACGCTCCAGCAAATCGCCACCTTACCCACACACACACATTCACACACACACACACACACGGATATACCATGAGCACACAGATAAAGTGTCGTGACGGCCATCGACCATGGAAGCACATACCCATCATGTATTCGATGACGAGGAAGATCTTGGTCCGGCTCTGAAGCACTGCAACAACATGACATCACACACACGTCGATTGACCGATCCAAAGCCAGGCGGCAATGGAGGTTGCCATCCATCCATCCATCCATCCATCCATCCATCCAAGACACATACATACGTACGCACCTTCGTTGAGCCTGACGACGTTCGGGTGCCGAATTTTCTTCATGATGGATATCTCCCGCTTGAGCTGCTCGGCCATGGCGGGGTCGGCTATCTTGACGCGGTCGATGATCTTGACGGCCACCGGCTCCTTGGTGTCCACATTCACCGCATACCGAACCGTCGCGTAGGTGCCCTCGCCCAGCACCTGAACCGCAACACATCAACACAATCACAGAGAGCGAGGCAATTTCCCATTCGAAATCAAGGCAGCTTGTGCAGTGCATGGTGTGCGTCCACTGGCCATGCCCAAGCACTATTACACAGCCCGATTAGCCCCTTTGTCGTGTGGTTGGCCCCGTCCTGTGCCACTTTCTCTACATATGTGTGTGTTCTTACATTGCCGAGCTCGTACTTGCCGACGCGCTTCATCGGCACTTGTCAATGGCCGCTCGGCCACCTGCGGTCAGGTCTGCTTGTGGAACAAGAACCTCGTTGCTGATGGCGTCCCCAAAGCGTCAGTCGCTCAATCTTCTGATGAAAACCACATTCCTATGTACTCCTCGTGCTGCTCTTCAGACAGCGGAAGCCGCCAAATTCTGCTGGAAACAACTGCGAGCTGCCATCTGCGAGCTTAGCTCACGAAGCGTGAAAAGGGAGGGAACCGGAGTCCAGAAGCGGCTCACTGATACGGATCCTTGCTGGTTTGGCCTGGCCGGCGGGATGGCTGCCGAGGGTCGAATGCGGTATCACACACTGACTAAGGATGGGCTGAGTGTGTTCGACTCCCCGTCTGCCAATGAGCCTGCAAAGCGATGGGACGGGGTGGGCACAGCAGTGTGGAGCAAAGATGGGACCAAGGTGAGGCGAGTCTGGTGAGATCCAGGCGACGCAAGGTAGTGCTCACGGCTGTGCGTGTCTGTGTGTGCATGTCAGCTGGCGATATCGACGAAGGCTCATCCCAGCTGTGTGGAGCTGATTGATGGCGACACACTGGCCACCAGCCAGATCCTCGACGGAGGTAGGTGACAGAATGAGCACTCATGAACATGGCACGGGCGCGACACACCTGTGCACACATCTGTCGTGTCTGTCTGTCTGTCTGTCTGTCTGGCACACACAGGTTCGCCGGTCCGTCAGTTTTCGTTTTCACCGCTGGCAACATACCTGGTTGGTAGCTTAATTAGCTTCCACCATCAATACACAGCAATTTATGCGTCTTGATGAAGATGAGAATGTTGTGTGTGTGTGTGGTTGTTTGTTGTGTCGTTTGCTGTCTGCAGATCTCGTTGCATAAGTACGATGCCGACCAGAACAAGGACAACTTCATCATTTGGGACGTCGCCAAGGGGGAGGCCGTGAGGAGAAGAGAACCACAGACAGCAATTGCAATAGCGGAACGACGACACAGCAGCATGGCATGCGCGTGTCTGTCTGGTTCTTCATGTGTGTGTGTGTGTGTGTGTGTGTGTGTCAGGTGTGCCGTTTTCCACTCAAGAGTCTCGGCAAGGCGGGCTGGCCGCCCGTCAAGTGGACACCAAAGGAGAAATACGCCGCCAGAATGGTCTGGTCAACCAAGTAGACAGACATAATGGATGGATTCTTTGCGGCGCACGCGCGTGTGGAGACTCGATGTAAACATCTGCTGCTGGCCTTGTCTTGTTTGTGCAGGTGTCCAACGAGGTGCAGGTTTTTGACGGTCAGAATGTGTCCCTGAGTGACGCCATCGGCAAAATATACCTCACCAACGTGGCCTACTTCGAGCCGGCACCTGAGGTATAGCCAAAGCCACACACACGTTTCGGAGTTTCGCATTCCGACCATCTCTCTCTCTGTCTGTGTGTGTGTGAGTGTGCAGGAGGGCAACGCCATAGCTCTGTTCGTGCCTGAGATGAAGGGCGCGCCCGCGTCAGCCAGGGTTTACTCGTTCAACGACCTACAGGTCGGCACGGGAGCAACAGCAACACGGGAGCAGCTATGAATATGCTGTGTGTGTGTGTTTGTGTGTGTGTTTGTTTCCACGTAGGCCCCGGTGTGCAGCAAGAGTTTCTTCCAGGCGCAGGAGGTGAAGATCAAGTGGAATTTCAACGGGTCGGCCATGCTCCTCCTCACGCAGACAGACGTAGACGCCACAGGACAGTCCTACTATGGCAGCACCAACCTGCACTTCATGCGGGTACCAACCGAAGGGGAATGTGTGCATCCGCAGTGTTCTCATCTCCTTATCCCTGGACGGTATGGGTGTGTGCGTGTGTGTGTGTCTGTGTGTGTGGTCAGAGTGACGGTTCGAGCGACTGTTTGTTGGTTGGGGGCGACAAGGGCCCCGTGCACGACGTCGCCTGGAGCCCCACAGCCAACGAATTCCTCATCTGCTCGGGGCTCATGCCCGCCGAGGTACCAACACACACACACACATACACAGCCCACCACAAACAGCCACACGGCGTACTGTTGATGTATGTATCAGCTGTCACTGCACGACGGCAAGAAGGGCGACAAGAAGCTGTCGTTCGGCAAGTCGCGCAAGAACACCATCAGGTGGAACCCCTTCGGAAGACTCGTCGCCTTCGGAGGATTCGGGAACCTCGCAGGTGTGTACGTCACGGCCGAACGAACACTTGACGGCCGGCAGAGAGAGCAGGATTCGCTGACTCATCCATATCATACGGTTGGGGTGGGGGTGGTGCAGGTGATTTGGAGTTTTGGGATATGAACAAGAAGAAGGCCATCGGCAGCTGCAAGGCCGCCTGCACCGTCGAGTGCGACTGGGCACCTGACGGAAGACACTTCATCACCAGTCAGTCTAAACCCGACCCACGCGCACACAAAGAAAGGCACCGGCCGCTCATCTGTCTGTCTGTCTGTCTGTCTGTGTGGCTGTCTGGCTGTGTGCCCGCCTGTGTGTGTGCAGGCATCACGACCCCCCGTCTGCGTGTGGACAACGGCATCACGGTCTACTACTACGACGCGTCAGTGGTGTCCAAAGCGGCCTACAACGAGCTCTACTTCGCAGAGTGGCAGCCGGCACAACCAGGCGCATTCAAAGACAGACCCGTCACACCAGGTAGGTCTGCCCTCGCCGGTCAGCACATGCATCACATCACCCTCCTTGCTTGGTCTCGATGTGCAGCTCGCATTCGTGCGGCCGCCGCGTCAGCCGAGGATGGCTCTTTGTCGGGTAGTGGTGGTGGTGACAAGAATGGCACCTTCAAACCTGCAGGCGCATACAGACCGCCAGGCTCTACAGGTAGGTGCACCGCTCCCAGCCAACCACCCCACCCACCACCCACGCAACCGCCCATTAATTAACCCTTCTTCTCCGCCTCTCGTCTATGGATGGTGCAGGTGCGTTGGCGGCGTTGATGCGAGCCGAGCGTGAGGCCGACCAGCAGCTGAGTGCCAAGCCAGTGAGCGTCCGCGACCCCAACCTGCCACCGGGAGCAGGCACCGACCCCGCCAAGTCCAAGGCGGCACTCAAGAACGCCAAGAGGAAGAAGGCCAGGGAAGCCAAGAAGGCGGCGGCGGAGCCACATGATGATGCCGAGGACGATGAAAAGGAGGGTGGCCCTAGTCCTGGCCCGGCTGATGACCTCCAGGATGGAGCCAGGGCAAATGGCGGTGTTGCCGCGTCCTTCGCATCGGCATCCGCCACTTCGGCGTCGGCAGCTGCTGAGGGTGCGTCATCGAGTTCGGCACCACAGCAGCCCCAGCCTGACGAGGGAGAGAAGAAGGAGCAGCTGAGTGAGGCCGACAAGAAAGTTCGAGGCCTCAGGAAGAAACTCAGGGAGATCGAGCGGCTCAAGGTGGGTGGGCTGGCGGGCACAAGGGAACAGAAAGCTAGCTTGGCCTACACACCTTAAGGTGTCCGTCTGCGTGTGTGTGTGGATGTTTGCTGTGTTGTTTGTCAGGAGATGTCTGCTGATTCGTTGAGTGAGGCGCAACGGTCCAAGGTGGCGTGCGAGGCGGACATCCTCGAGCAAATCAAGGCGATAGAAGGATAGACAGCCAAGCCCGCTTCGCTTACCGGGTCGCTTATAACTTCGTTTGTGTGCTGCGAGTGAGTGACATACAATCTCTCTGTGGTGCGAGAGTGGACTGTACGGGTCTGTCTGTGTGGGGTGGGGATGGCGGCCGCTGAAAGTAACACTTTTACACAACGCTTCCTTCCGCAAGCGCATGATTCGATTCCATGAAGCCATGCAATGCATGCATTTCATAGTAATACATTGAATGGAGGGCGATGTCAGTCAGCTTGATAGCCGTAGACAGACAGACAGACAGACACAGTCGGTCAGTCAGTCAGTCACCGCCCGCCAACTAAATGCAATCAATGCAGCCAGTCATCTCTGTCCGTCGACATGCACGTCTACGGCCACGCGTTGTCGTATTGGTTGGCATCTTCCTCCGCCACCCTACCTAGAGAAACGCGTCAGCCCCTTTACCGACTCCCTTGTGTTGTCTGCTATACCAGGCGTATGTACTCCCTTGTGTTGTCTGGCACCGTTGGCTCATTCCGCTTCCACTTTGCGGCCAGACTCCCCCCACCGCAAGGGACCCGGCAGGTCTTCCTGCGAGCAACCCGGGATGGGAGGAGGGGGACAGACAACGCGAAAGCAGAAGGAACCAAGCATGTGACTCATCCCCTCACTCAATCGACGGTCGCCGGCACAGAAAAGCCACCCAACCCACAGCCTGCCTGCCCCCCGCTAACCTCTTCACACACATACAAACGCAGCGTACCGACCCCTTAGCTTAAACCTCAACCCATCCTTCCCTTCCCCCCACTCTACGTATATGTGGATGCTCATACGCTGGGTGTCCTCCGTGTGAACATCTCCACCCCCCGCCCGTCAGCTCCGCTCCCATGCTCGGCGCGATACTCCCTGAAGAGGACATAGCCGTAGACAAGGGCGCCGACGATAGAGAGGGCGAAGACCACCCAGAAGAGCGTGTGCGTGCGGTCGATGAGGTACGCGAACAGCCACACCAACGCCACGATGCCCAGCACTATCAGAGTCCGCTTCCAATTCTGACACACACACACACACACACCAAGAAGAGACTGTGGTTGCGAGTTCCTGCATGCCTCCTCTCTGTGCCGCATCACCACGGCTCCCTCACCTGCCAGAGCATGTGCCTCTCGAGTTGCCGGCTGCGTGAGCTGAACTCGGTGGATGTCTGGGTGAGATCGTCGCTCTTCTCGAGCAGCTGCTCCACCGCCTCGCCACGCTCCGTCATCTTGACGATGTTCTGGCGCATCACGTCCACCGTGGCATCTGCATAACTCACCCCATGCACCACATGACATGGACAAACAGGGATGGCCGCCTGCGTCTGGTGTTTCGTTCGTTTGATCCTCTCCCTGCCTACCTATTTGGCGCTGCACCGTGCCCATGGCCGACTCGCCGGCCTGCGGGGGAGGCGCTGTGGGCGGCGACGTCATCTCGGTCACAGATCGATGCTGCAGGTTCAATCAATGGATGCAGCGGCTCGTATTAATTGCGACACAGACTCAAGATCGAGTGCTACGGTTGGTTTCCCTTCCCCTGCGTTCCCTTCCCTTCTTCCATCTCTGTGGGGAGCGCGAGCAGTTTCACGGGTCTTTGCAAGCTCGCATTCTTTGTAAGAATAGGTGGGAGAGAGTCGGGGAGAATGGTGAAGAGAGGATCTGCCGGGCGGTCAGTCCCGGATAAAGGATTAAGTCAATGCAACGTAAGGTCTGTGGATTTTGTGGAGAGTCCACGTAGGACATGTAGTATGCGTCAGTCCATCCTGTCTGACGTCCTGTCCGCCATGGCCTGTCTCATGGAACGGACAAAGACTCAACAGCCGTCCTGTCTCACAGATCAGTGGACCGTCGGTCTATGAACCCTAGACCCTAAACCCTGGACCGACTTGCACTTCTGACACCCCCTCTCAAGTCGGTGCAG